TGCCAGCAACAGATGGCACCATTACCCTGTGCCAGGGCGGAAATTAGTTGGTTTCCTTTCAAGAATGTGGGTGTGGATTACTTTGGCCCTATTGTTGTAAAGCGAGGAAGGACTGTGGAAAAGCGCTTTGGGTGCATATTCAATTGCCTGCAAACCAGGGCAGTGCACTTGGAAGCAGACCATGACCTCTCGACTGATGCATTCATTACGGCGTTCATCCTTTTCGTCGGCAGACGGGGCTGCCCACCAGAAGTATATAGTGACAACGAAACGAATTACGTCGGGGCGGTTAGGGAATTACGTGCTGGTGTTAAAAATGGGATCAAAAACGGATTGACGGAGAGCTATGCCTTCGTGGTGTGCAATGGCATTTCAATCCACCATTTGCAAGCCACAGGGGCGGGGTGTGGGAAAGAATTATCCGTTCTGTAAAGAAAATATTGTACGGCACATGCAACGAGCAACACCTTACTGATGACGCCCTAGCCACTGTATTCGTCGAGACAGAACGGATTCTAATCAATCGCCCGGTAGTTCCACCCACCTCCGATAGCCAAGATGCTCCTCCATTAACCACGAACAGCCTACTTCTCATACGATGCGAAACCTTGCAGCTACCAGACATCGACATCAGATACGGGTATACTAAGCGCTGGAAACAAGTAGCCCACGTAGCCACGGGGTCTTGGAAGAGATGGTTAAATGAATACATAACAACGTTAAAATCTCGACAGAAGTGGCAGCTTCCGACCAAGTCTGTAGAAATAGACGAATTAGTGTTGGTGGCTTCCGAGAAATTACCAAGGGGTTGTTGGCCGCTGGGTCGAGCCGTGAGCTGTGAAGCCAGCATTGACGGTTTAGTAAGGACGGTGTACATTAGAACGAACTCAGGTATATTAAAAAGAGATGGCAGAAAGGTGCGCCGCCTGGAGGGCGATGAGTAACAGCGCTTAAGTCTGGCTTGGAGTGCAGGGTGGTAGTCATGGAAAACGGCTTTCACCCAACCGCTTCAATGCCCAAAGACGCCAACGAACGGCGGTTAGTGGGAGTCATGGAAAACGGCTCCTGCCAAGAGGCTCTCGTGTGGTTATGTTCCTTTCCTTTCTGTTTTTCTAAGGAGCGCTACTGTAGGCAGTTGTAGGACCGAGAGCCAGAGTGGAGTCGGGGACGTACGAGACGTCAATCGCAGCAGAATTTCGGAGGCAGTGTAACGTGCTTATTTACCCACGAAATTCTTCTACTCTTCGCTTCGTGGTCTAGTTTACAGACCTTGACCGATCGTTGATGGGTATCGACCAGCGTTCACGTGCGCCTCCTTACATTCCCATTGTTAGCGTTGTAGGTGTGTCTGTGTGTGCATGCAAATCCTCGGCACTGGTTCCGTGCGTGTGCGGCTACCGACGATCTTGGATCTCCAACCCTACTCTTCGCCGAACATGACACGTTCAGCCCGGAGCATGTGTCGCACCCCCTCCCCCGTTCACTGGTCGCTCGTCCAAACCTCGTGTTTATGCGTGCCATTAGACGCTCACCCTGTGATTGGACCATCCATTGATTGGTCAACGCCATTATTCTTAATACTCGTAGCACTCAGGTGTGGTGACTTGTTCCTTTGCTTGTCCGGCGTAGACAACTTGTTCCCTCCTATTGTTTACTGACACCGTGTTGTCAACTTGCATACACCGGGATACTGAACAATTGAAGTGTGTCCCAATTATCAACTGTATATATTTTAATAGTACCGTAGTATTTGTGATCCGACTTGTTTTGACTTCGGGATCTTTGGCTATGCGTTATTCAGCGTTCATGGTGGACGTCACAGTATTCAATTGGGTTCTAGCTTCGACGGATTGCTTAATTTGATCCCTCGGTTTGGTGGTACTCGTATCCGGAAGGGCCAAATTGGTTCCTCTTCGCAATGCCAGTCACCCGCGCATCTACCCGGACAAAGGACTCATCCAAGTCAAGGCAAGTCCCGCTTGATGCTGTTTCTCACTCTGGCTCTCGGGTTAGCTCTAGAAATTCAGTTGGCTGTAAGCGCTCACAGCTCCCGCTTGCTGAGTTGAAAGAAAAGCAGCTCAAGGAGGAGCTAGAACTAGAAACTAGGGAGCAGGAACTTAGCAAACAGTGTAGACTGTTGAAGGCTAGACAGAAGGTCGAATTCGTCCAGCGTAGCGCCTTGCTGGAAGACGAACAACGCGAGTTAGACCTGCCCGCACTCTTTATATATTCGTCAAACAGAGTTGACGAGTTTATCACGGAATGTGCTGCGGTGACTGCGAATCAACCATCCGCCGATTGTTATGACGATTTGCCGATTGACCCCCCACTGCCACGTTGAGAAACGCTATAGCGTCCGCTCTCGTCCCACTTATTGCGGAAGCTAATCTCCCCAAAGTAGAGCTGGCTTATTTCGATGGGCACCCAGCTGACTACTGGAGGTTCGTCAAGCAGTTTGAGTTCTATGTGGAGAGCAAGGTGGTAGATGACGGAAGACGTCTGCTCTACCACATTCATTACTGTAAGGGACGAGCTAGACTGACTATTGCCAGCTGCGTAATGCTGCCGCCTGGTCAGAGTCATGAAAGAGCTCAACATGTTCAAACAAGTTCAACAAGTTCATAAGTTATCACCAGTGACTTTAGGCGTTGCAAATGCAACAGATTTTAAGGGAAATTTGCGACTAGTTGAAACATTGTCAAGTACATCAGACAGCTTAACAACTCCACCGCTCACCGGCCCCACCAAATGCAGCTGATGGGTAGACGAAACTTCAGAGTTTTTATAGTGGTGTGCCACAACATACTTGAGTCCGAAACAAATTCAGTAAGTGTCAGATATTCAGACGAAGTAAACCGTTGGAACTCCGTTTGTTAGTAGACTGGTGTTCTTGCCAAACTGACAGGTGCCATGTGTGTTATTAAACAGCGAAAATCGGTCCAACTAGGTTGTGCTTCGACTACACTGGGATGTACGATTGATATGGAGCCGTTCTGCTGTTGACACCTTGTAAGCAGCATGGTTACACTAGAGTATACATCTTTCCAACTGTTACCTAGTACGTACACTAAGGAGATAAACGTAGACCACACCACAACTGGGTGAGTAACCGCGAAGAACTATTCTTACATATGGTGTCCTAGAGCTATCGCGAGCTGGTGAGCATGAAAACCGAGCTCAATTCCTGAACGAGTGCAAGTATAGCCCTGAAACTCAGTGGTATCAGTGGTATTACGCCGTAGGCTACGCGGTCATCACATATTGAAGTACCAAATATTGCTTGACCCAAACCACGTATGGCTCCATTTGCTAACATTCAGGTCCAGCACCAAGCTCGGACGTAACTAGCTGAGGCTGAGTGAACAATAAGTTTATATGGAGTACCTACGGAATTACTTTTTCCTAGAGTTTGCCAGTCTTGGAAATGTCTCCCAAACTCAGTTGTCTCCTGCACTAATTAGGATATTTACAAACAACGGTTAGGTGTTGCGCTTTGCTCTCGGCACTTCAATACCTTTGTTGAGATAGTTTGGAACACTTTGATCATGCCCACATACAACCCCGCATTTAACTTGTTAGACGCTTAAACATATGGTTCACACATCCTTGATCTGGTACTTTTCACCACAACCAACCTATGAGAGTTGACAAACACCTGTTTATGCCCGGGATAAATTGCTGTCATGGTAAACTAGTGTAGTTGTTTTTTCTCAGTATAGGAGAAAAATCGGGGAACGGTTTCTCGATTTTTCTCCTAGTTCCTAGTTCAATCCCGGCTAATGGTCTTGAACGAGTTGTATAAGCCGCGTGAGTACTACAATACTGTGTTCGAACATGGTAGACGTCTAACCACGTCCACCAGACAATTTATTTGTCAAACCCATACCACCGAGAATTCAGCTCTTTCACTACGATAATATAAAAACACCTTCACCAAGCTCCGAAACCACTGCTTTAGGTACTGTTAGCATCAAACGTTTTGCACAGTTTAACTGCAAACCAACTGCCAATGTAACAGCAAGTGGTACTAAACCACGGGTGACAATTGACAGCACACACATGGACAGCACGGAAAGTGGCTGGTGATTGGGACCTCATTAATCCCATCTCTATCAGAGGGTACAGAAAACAAACAGTGCTTGGTTTCAGTGGTCCATTTAGCATAGTAATCCAATACCGCCTTTACTGTATAACCAGTGTTAACTGTAAATTAAAATGTCATTTTACTCACAGTTCTGTGGGGACAATATTCAGCAGAAAGCACTGTTGCTACAGCCATTTGTCTAGACGCAACCCTGACCGCGTTGTGACAAAGAAATCTAGAGGAAAACAAATTCATATTTATGTTGAAACGAGGGATAATCATTCCTTTTTTACCTAGAAGGTTTTCGCACTGATTTTGCAAATTACCGCATGGTACCGAAACGTCATTTTTATACTAAAGTGACCGATTCCAATTTGCGGATAAGCTGGTGCTGACGATGAAAAGCGTAGCAGGATAACAT